GTTAATCACTCCTGCTGACCAGTCCTGGATCATTCAGCCTCTTTTTCCCCAAATATTGGTGGCCCAGTGAAGAGCTCTGTCAGACAGAAGAAATATAATGACAGCAATTTTTGAACATTCTGTGAGGAATTAATGTGGCTGCATCTCCGTGAACAATGAATAATGCAGAAGAAAACTGAAATAGTTACCTAGACAGGAGCACTGTGATAGGCATTGTATTTCTATACTGCAGGTAGGTAGACATGGAGATGTGGGACAGACATTCTGTCATCATTTACTCACACTCAAGTTGATCCTTGCAAGTCTTTATAAGTTTCTTTCTTTTGTTGAACACTAATATTTTGAAGGATCTTGAAAACCGGTTGCTGGTCTCCCTCTGATTTCCACAGTATGAAGAAAAAAATACTGTGGAAGTCTGTGGGGAACAGAAAATGTTTGGTTACCCACATTCTTCAAAATATATTCTTTTGTGTTCAGTAGTTTAGTGACCTAAAGTTTGAAACAACAAGGGTGAGTAAATCATAACAGAATTTTTATTTTTGGGTGAACTCTCCCTTCTTATATGCAGATAGTTTTTCTAGGGAACGTGAGTGAAGCATGGATGGAGGTGGAAGGTCTGATGGGGCGTTAAGTTGATTTTAACTGAAAACTGATACATTAAATATGTTATGATCTACAGCTGCTATTTCACAGAAATCACAATGTTACAATGTAAATAGACATTTTTCTAAATGAAAATTATTAATAAGCATTTAAAGAAGCTCTTTAATTTTCTGATTTTGAAACCAATTAATTATCTTTTATACAATTTTTTTATAAATGTATCAGTACGTTAGTCCATGTTTAATGTTGAGCATATTCAGCACTGATCAGTGGTGTGATCTACAGTTTTTTGGTAAAATTATTTTAATAGAGAGAGATTCGTTTGCATTGTCAGCACATGCTTCAGTGCTCTGAGAGTGTTTATAGTGCTGTGAGTTTAACACTTCATGACTGAGAGCAGAACACAACACAATCTTCATCATCACACAAGACAAAACAACAACAATGACCAACATCATCATCCTCATCTGGACACTGACTCTTGGCATTCAAGGTAAATATTTTGTAATTAATTACATTTCAAAAATAAACAATCACATCTTATGTACAGTCCATGAACCACTAAATGACTAAAATGTCTTATTTCAGAGATCTGGGGACAAGTGACAGTGACTCAGAATCCAGAAATAAAATCCATCAAACAAGGAGAAACTGTTACAATCTGCTGTAAAACCAGTCAGTTTACGTCTAACTGTAATGACTGTGTGTCTTGGTATAAGCAGAAAGCTGGAGAAGCTCCTAAACTCCTCATATATTACATAAACAGACTTCAGTCAGGAACTCCATCCAGATTCAGTGGCAGTGGATCTAGATATGGAAGTGATTTCACTCAGACCATCAGTGGAGTCCAGACTGAAGATACAGGAGATTATTACTGTCAGAGTTACCACTACATCAACAGTAAAAGTGTGTTCACACAGTGATAAAGAGTCGTACAAAAACCTCCGTCAGTCAGAGTCACAGTGACTGCACTGATACAGGTGAGAGATACTGCAGCTGCTGATGAGAGGATCACAAACAACACAATGACACAGTGTATCAGTTTTAGAGACTAATAATATGATGTATTAAGGAAATGTAATATAATATACAGATTTCACATTGTCTGGAGAAAATATGTCCACATTTCATAATGTTTTGCTGTCTAGATTTGGCTGGAGCTCTCAGTGATTCAGAGTATTGTGGGTCTTTACATAAGTTTTGTCCAGCAGGTAAATCATCACTACTAAACAAGAGCATTATTATAAAAGACTCAGTGACTCATGATTGAGGCACCCAGCATATGAACTGTTCAGGAGGATAAGAAGCATTAAATCCAGAACAACGAGGCTTGAATGCAGCTTCTTCCCAGAGGCTGTAAGACTCATGAATTCCCTGCCTCATTGAATGATCTTTACCTTTGTCTCTTCCCTTGTTTTACCTCCTCCTGCTGTGCTGCTATTGTCACAATGCTACTCTGGTTTATTATGTTCTTTTGTTGTCGCTGTGTTTATAGGCTTCTAGTCCTTTTTATAATTATTAAGTTATTTTAATTTAATCTGTTACGTTATCTTAACTCATTGCATATTTAATATTAGTTTTAGTATTGTATACTGTTTTTCTATGGTTTCTGCTGGACCTGGACTAGTTGCCATATCAACATTAGGTAACACTTTATAAGAACTTTCATTAATTTTCATTAATTAAATTAATTAATTATTTTAATAAACATTATATGTTGCTTAACATATTATTGGTTAATATATTTTCACATAGCTAGAAATATGACAATGTGCTTGTTAATGTTTACTAATGAACTTATGAAACATAATGATTAACAGATCATTATTTAATGTAAATTAAAATGCTTACGAATGTCATTACACTTTCAATGCATATGAGCATGCACTTCAAATAATCTTCAAATCATTTTGACAGATGGTTTACAATGATTAAAAGCTTCATTAATAAATCATTAACAACCATTATATAATGCCTAACGGATCATTATTTAATGCTTACAAATGTTATTAAACTTTCAATTCATACGATCTTGCACTTTTTAAAAATCTACAAATGATTTTAACAGGTACTATACAGTGATTAAACGCTTATTTGTTAAAAGGTCTTCAAAGCAAAGTTTCTGCAAGGCTACAGTGGTATCAATCATTACTATTGAAGTAATAAGTTTTGCAATTGTCATTCAATGAATCATAACCAAACCATAACCAAATGGGCTGGTGATTTGATGTGCGTTACTCACCTTACTTCACTGGAGCTATAATAATCTATAATCTCTGAAAATATTGGCCTGACGGTTTACTATTGGGGGCTCTGGCAGCTAGCTATACTGTTGGCTAATCAAATCTACAACGGGCTTAGCTAACGTTACGTATTTAGATGGGAGAGCATGAGAGGAGAGAATAATTAAGTTCACTTGTCACTGAGTTTAAGATGTTTAAGAGTTTAAGTTAGTTATCTTACCCAGTAAACGACCTGTTGCTCGCCATGATACAACTTCGCTCGCTCTCTGTCAGACTGCGGCGGCAGTGGCGGGGATTCCGGGGAAACGTAGTGGGCGTGGTCAACCTGTGACTTCAATCGAGAGTGACCAATAGAAAAAGTCCTTTCATCCTAGTGGGAAGAGACCGCCCACTGAGACACAGCTTCACTCGCAAGCAAAACTTTTCAACTCGCAAACAAAAGTTTTAGACCCGCAAAAAAAGACGGCAGAAAAGAGAGCCACATTTGTGGTTTCATGATGAAAAGTGTTTGAAGTGCACAAAGAAAAATAAAGATTTTCAAAGATTTATACACACTGCAAATAATTTTGTTTTCAATTTCTTTATTTTTGAACCTTAAGAAGACTTTTTTTTTGCAATCTTTTATTTTTTAATTACAAAATAATTAGTTTTACTCTCAAACACAGAATGTTTGATTGAATAATAAAGACACAAAAATAATTCCATAGAATCACAGACACATTCACTCCCACAGAAAATTCAATGTCTCCAGTTTACTTTACCTGCATGTCTATGGATTATGGGGAAACCAAAACACCCAGAGGACACTCACACCAACACGTGGAAAAGGTGCATATTAGTACCTTTAATAAAGTGTGTATATTAGCGTGTGTTAATAATATGAAGCCTTAAGTTAGTAAAATGTACTTTTATGGTACTATTATTAACCCATTAGGAGTAAAGAAGGTACAAAGGTGTCTATTTGAGAGTAATGCCCCTCATTTGTGGACACTTTCACTGAAGATTGAACAGTGTGCATCTGAAATGATCAGAATTACTGATTCTTTTGTCTGAAGCTGCAGGTTTTTCTGTGAGTCATGATGATTGAGCTGGATATGAAGAACAGAAGAATCATTATGATAAACTCCACAACATCATCCATGATAAAAAAGGTCAAAGGTCACCTCAGAGGTCTCAGCTCATCAAATATATTTCTGTGTTATATCAGCACATGACAGGAGAATGAATGTGAAATGTAGGATATGAATTCAAACTGAATCATGTCTATTGTAAATGGCATTAATAAATGATTCCACTGATTATGAAAATAATGCCATTGTTTAGCAAGCAATAACAAATATTTTTATAGATTAATTAATTTTTTTGATGAAAAAAAAGTTATATTAATTTAGCTAAGTTCTTATATTTTGAAAAGCATTTTTTTTTTCAGTCAAGGTAAGTGTTACTAACAGCTGAGGTGTTTCTGCTCTCAGTGTGTTGAAGTGTTGTTTCTCTCTCTCTGCTGGAGTTTGTGTTCACTCGAGTGGAATAGAGGTTTTTGTACGAGGCTTTCATTAGATTGTATCACTGTGGTGCACATTCGGTGGAGGAACTAAACTGGTGCTCGGTAAGTCTGTCTTATTAATTCTCTTGTATAAAAATACTGCTGTAGTCAAGCAGCACACAGACAAACTCATCATTACAGTTATAGGAAATTGTGAAAACATATATGAAAATTTAATGAAATCAAAAACCCAAGTTCACAAATCAAGAATCAGCCATTCCGACACAAATTCTGTAAGAATGTAAATCTTTCTGTGGGTTAAATGGAAAGCATCACGTCCAGACAGCAGAAGTGACTGAATGCAGTCTGTTCAGTTTGATTGACAGGGATCATAAAACAGTATGATTTTATTAAAACACTGACTTGTTCTCTTCAGAAATACAAGATTGATGTTTATTATAATGTAATTGTGTTATTAGTGTTTGTGATCTGTTCAGTGTTGTGTGATTGAGTTTATGAGCAGCTGCAGTGTCTCTCAGCTGTATCAGTGCAGTCACTGTGACTCTGACTGACAGAGGTTTTTGTACGACTCTTTATCACTGTGTGAACACCCAGTTATTGTTTATATAGTTTATAGCCATACAGTAATAATGTCCTGTATCTTCAGTCTGGACTCCACTGATGGTCAGAGTGAAATCAGTTCCATGATCAGCTCCACTGCCACTGAATCTAGATGGAGTTCCTGACTGGAGGGTTTTAATGTAGTACACTAAAAGTTTAGGAGTTTCTCCAGGTTTCTGTAGGTACCAGGAGAAACAAGACTTGCAGGCACTGTTGACTGTTTGTCCGTTCTGAACATGTTTCTCTGTTGGAGTCTACAGTCACCTGTCCTGCAGAATCTGAACAGTTAAAAGACATTTAAACATATGAACTGGAAAAAAAGAGATGTTTTATAAAAATATTGCAAAGAAGCTAATTAAATAAAATAATGCATTACCTTGAAGATACATCCCTAAGATTAAGAAGATGATGAATGTCATTGTAGTTGTTATTATAATAAACAGTGTCAGTCATGAAGTGTTAAACTCACAGCACTATAAACACTCTCAGAGCACTGAAGCATGTGCTGACGATGCAAAGAAGTGGGCAGGATTTACAGCAGCTTGAGTTGCTAACAAACTCATATACAATAAAAAAATATAGAATATATAACTTTACAATGACTAGGGTTGGGTATCGTTTGAATTTTATCGAATCTGATTCTGCTTATTGATTCCGATTCTTATTGATTCCTAGTTTCGGTTCCAATAAGATAAAAAAAAAAAAAAAAGACAAAAATTTTTTACGCGCACATTGGCGCACAATCAAATTCTAAACCGCCCGCCCACTCTAGCAACACTGATTATTAGTTTAGGTGTCACGTGATGCCTTTATAAAGGGTTTCTTCTAAACTTATTAGGACTGGCAACATAACATATGGTTTGTTTTTTATTGAAAGTGAGTAAATCATATCAATGAAATACATGGTCTAGTTCAACGATGATCATTCACCCTCTAAAGATTCACCCTCTAAAGATTTTTTTTGTAATTAAACGCCCTTTTGTGAGGGCCTGTCCAATCCAACTATTAGTAATATTAATTAATAATAATTTTGCCGTAAATAAAATGATTCACATGATGACCTTTCACCTGACGATCTCATCCGGAATGATCCCTCACATTAGTAATTTTGCGCACTACACGTCAGCGGAGCGGTGTGCTTGTATACTTATATTATTAAATTATTATTATTTTACAAGAACGACGTGAAGAGAGCATGCACAGCTGCACAGCTGTTGTTTATATTGCTGTGTGTAGCCTGTGGAAGTAACGCTAGCTGCAGCAAGGCTATAATATTTTTGTTCAATATTTTCTAATGACAATTTTATGATTGGTTTAAAAAGGCTACTACTGTCACGAATCCGGTCCATGAACTTCCGTCTGCTCGCCACCAGAGGTCACTCTTCCACTACTATGGACTCTTGCACCACACCACTGTTGCACTTCACCCGGACTACAGTTCCCATCATCCACTGCACTGATTACACACACACAGTTGATTGCACACAGCTGTAATCAATCACACATTCCCTATATAACACTCACTCTGATCCCTTCCCACTGCCGAGTATTGTTTAGCCACAGAACCTCCTGAGGTGGCGGCGTCCACTATTAGGTCTCCAGAGTTGGCGGCGGAAGCTGCAGAATCTCCTGAGGTAGTGGTGCTCTCTGCTGTGTTCCCCGAAGCGATGGGGCCCGATGCAGTTTCTCCAGAGGTGGCGGCGCATGCTGCAGAACCTCCCGA